TTAGTTTCGACAGACTCTGACACTGGTACAAGCCGATTAATCCATGGTACGAGCAATTTTACTTAGCATATTAACGTTGGTATTCGGATTGTATGCATTCCGGCCGCTTACCTATTCATTTCCTTATACCCGCTACCCTGTTTCTCCCTTTATTCCCTTTTGTTTATTCCACTTTGTTTCGCCTCACATGGCTTCACCTCTGTTATATTATAAACACTCCTTCAGCTAGGTCTCTCCACAAGTATATAAGGGTGCATACAATGAGAGCCAGTGATCCAACAACCTAGCAATCATCTTTATCATCATGTCAACAGAAAGAGCACCACGAGATAGACGCCCTCCTATTCCCTCCAGCCGTCTAACTGCTGATTCTAATGCTGCACAACCTGCACTAGCTTCTCATCGTGTGAGCATTGCACATGCCCAGGCGAAACGTGCAGCAGAGGCCACACGGATCGCTCTTCTAAGTGCTCAGGCTGGCAATGTTACTGTTGATCACCCTCCTGAACAGCAAGATGAAGATCAATCAGAAGCACTATCACTGCCACTGATAACCCCTACAACCACATCCAAAGCTAGCACCATCCTGCCTACTGATCCGGATAGTGACGATTCAGATCAGGATTCAGATCATGCACCTACAGCAGCAAAGAAAATCAAGCAGAAACAAAAGCGCATACGAAAGCCATCGGGTATGTGATTAATTCATCAGATAAGCTATAGTAGTAATAATACCTATCGCAGATACAAGTAACGTTCCTCAAACAGATGGGAATGGAATGTACAAAGATGTCAATGTCATGGACATCGATTCTGATACACCAAGTGACAAGAATAAGAAGAGCCTGACAGCAGATCTCAATCAGTTTTTTGAGCCTGTGGTGCACATGAAAGGTGATAAACATGGTCGGCGTCGGTGCAAGTTGTGCGCGTGAGTGACCAACGTCATATATATATCTGTTTATCTGAGATTTGAGATTCTCACAGATCTGGAGATGGCCGCAACAAAACGGATCAACTTCTTGTTAACCAACATACAACTCTTCGACGTCACATGGCTGCAAAGCACAAGGTGCGAGGTACTGTTTTTCTCATAATTTGTTGTTGATTGAATCCCTCCATCACCAGGGTACATATCGACAGTGGTGCAAGTCTACGGGTTTCCTATCAATGCTCCCTGAGGATGCAAATGCAAGACGCAAAGAGGTTCTTGAGAAAGAAATGGAACAAACTCAAGTGGACGAACACTTCCATCCTGTGGATCCTGACAGCAAGCCACTTCCCTACACAGATGATGTATTCAAGGAAGCTGCGATACAGTGGCTGATTGAAACCGATCAGGTACATCTTGTTATTTATTCCAATGTCAGTTCTCATTGTCACCGACAGTCTATTTCTGCTTTTGAACATCCCTCCTTCCAACATATGATACATCTTGCCTCTCGAGCAACCCGCGGCATCAAGATCCCCAACAGAAAGCAAACGCGTGACGAAATAATTACCCTCTTCAAGATGCAAATGACTAAGCTGAAAGATCGTCTCAACGTTTGTACCTTTTCATTTGCAGCTTCATGTTCTAATCCACTTTCCCAGAGCCAATACGTTTCTGGACAAATCAGTCTAACTTGTGATGCATGGCAAGCCTCGAATATAGATGGGTATTTTGCTGTGACTGGTCATTGGATTGAGGAGCATTCACCAGGTAAATGGACGTTGGAACATGCTCTTCTCGGATTTACACAGATGAATACGGCACACAATGGCCAACGATTAGGCCAAGCTCTTTACAAGATCTGCAACCGCCTTGGAATTGTTCGCAAGGCGAGTAATTCCGATCAAATTTCATTTATTTACTTACCATCTGTAGATTGGTCATATAACCTGTGACAATGCATCGAACAACGGCACAATGATTGCTGAATTTGCTCGTTGTTATGAAAGTAAAACAGGGCAGACATTTGATGTCAAAAAGCGACATATTCGGTGAGTTGATATTTCCGTAGTTGTTCGCAGTACCTTATCAACGTTCTTTTAACTCTGCAGGTGCCTTGCTCATATCATCAACCTTGCTACCCAAGCTCTCATCTCGACACGAAGTAAAGCCAAGTATTACAACCCTCACAACATCGATGAACACACACCAGATGTCGGTGCTTGGGAACGAGATGAATTAGGGCTCATACGTGCAATTTCTGTCAAGGTCAGTATAATTTTGTGTGCTAGCCATATGTACTGATCTACCTTCCAGGAGCGTTCCTCCTCACAACGTAAAGAACTTTTCAAGTCCATCCAGATTCGGAAAGGGGTGAAGCAGCCCATGCAGCTGTTACTCGACATGAAGGTGCGATGGGGATCCACATATGTGATGTTAAATCGTGCCGAATCAAAGCGGAAGGCAAGTACAATATTTTTACAGCACGTTGACTGCCGCTTATCTTCAGATAGTTTGTCGATGAATTTGTCTATGAACTTGGTGTTTGCACAGATGGTAATCTTGAAGCACGAAAAAAAACTGATGCTCTCATGCTCTCCGAGGATGAGTGGCACCGCGTTAGTGTATTCTGTGGCCTCCTCAGCGTGCGTTCCTCCTGCGCTTCCGTGATGTGTAATTATTGACCTGTGTGCAGCATGCCGACAAAGCACAGCAAGCATTCTCATCTGCTCGTATTCCCACTCTCTCCAACGCTGTTCCTGCAATCGAAATGCTGCATGCTGCATGGTCTAGCCGAGCTGATAAACTCAAATACAATTCATTTAAGTCTGCACTTGATGCTGCCACCATGAAGCTCAATGAATACTACCAAAAGACTGCAGATTCTGATGCTCATATCCTAGCCTTGCGTACGTTCAAAGTCTCTGTGTCTTTTTGTCATCCCTGATGGCCACTAGTGCTACATCCTGAGAAAAAGATGGCTCACTTCGAAAAACACTGGAATGCAGAGCTCCAACAGGAAGTCTTAACATTGGCACGGAATGCGGTATGTTACTTCAGAATTTACTATTCTTGCTCACATCAGCAAAGTTCAAGGAGCGTTATGAACAACTTCAAGCTGCCAACGCCCTGTCTTCCAAATCTTCCACTACCCGTGTTGCCAAGCGACAGAAAACTCACAGCCTTCTGCGTGACACTGATTCGGATGAATCAGATGATGTTGCTGTTCATGCGTTATCACCACCATGGATGATTGATTTCAAACGCTATATTGATACTAATGATATAATCCCACCTGGTATGACAGTTGTGGAGTGGTGGGGTGTGCGTATTCGCTGTCGTGATGGTCTCATAGTTACTGAGACACTGCTTTTCATTTAGCTCAATGCACCTCGTTATCCGATCGCGGCTTCCCTTGCCCGTGACTATCTTGCCATCATGGCATCTTCAGTATCAAGCGAGCGTGCATTCTCTTCTGCTGGCATTACCCTAAGCAAGCAACGCAATCGGCTCAAGGGAGACATTGTTGAAGCTTTACAATGTTTAAAATGTCTGTTCCATAATGACCTGATCTTCCGAGACGTTGTAGTGGCAACAGAGGAGGAGGAGAACCTTGAAGAAATGGACTTAGAGTTGGCTGGAGGTGCTGACGATGTAGCGGAAGGTTTTACATGGGATCAATTATTTGCTGATGATGAGGATATGTACAAAGATGATAAGATTATAGGTGCAAAAGGAGGCAAGCGGGAACGTGCAAGAGGGTTTTAGAAGTGGAGGGAATTCCGAAGCAAACAGACATGGCGCAGCCTTTTATTTTAGATACTTTGTTAACTTAGAGACACAATAGCAACTGCTTTATCTATAGCAGATTTGGTGACTTTATATACAATTTAGATGTACTATATCAGCTACCAAATTAAAGTAAACGAACGCGCGCGTTATCTTGCTTGTTAATGAAAGTGATTTCATCACATGATCGATCTGAGATGTATATACTCAGTATCTTAATTAATGTGAGAACACGTTTTTATCTCATCAATTGTTTTATCTAAACGCGATCACAATTATGTCGGACTATCTCTGTACCAATATTCTGGTTCAACAAATTCAACGCTGTCCTGGATGTGCATTTTTTATGCAGCAAAGGACATTATAGATACACGCGGCCATTGTTTGAGTAATATTAATTGATAATCTGATTATAGAGTAGTCTAAAGTAGTCTAATATGTATTTTAGATAATGCCAGACTGGCAGAAACGATCGCGCGTTAGTAAATAAGATGTGTCAGGGTACTTAGAAGAGTAAGCCACTGATAAATAATTAGATTTACATCGCACGCTCGATCGGCTTTGGTATTTTGTAGAATAGTACTAGAACCTATTTAAAGATGCCCTGTAGCACGCTGCAGATCCCATCTCGTCTTCTTGGGGGTGTAGGCTCTTAGCAATTGTTCAATATAGGTGTATTCTTGCTGGATTTTCACTCTTAGTTTCACCACGATCTCAACATCTTATCTTATCTACATAGCAAGCGCGGGATAGAAACACCCGTTACAAACGCTGTTATTGATACAAGCTAAAATAAGACAACTTATGTTACAGGAATTAAATGGGAGACATAATATGGCAGAAGGCCAAAGCAGTGGCTAGGGGTTGATATAATGTAAACTACAAGTCCTTCAAAAAATGCAGCTAAAACTTGATTTGACGCTGTAAAGCCGCGGCTTGGGCCTGAGCCGGGCCTAAGCCGGCCGGAAGCCGTCGCTACGGCCCAGGCTTGAGTTTTGAAAAGCCTAAGCCGCCAAAAGCCGGGCCTAAGCCGCGGCTTCAGGCCGAGCCGGGGCCGTCACAACACTACCCATACCATACCGTAAGCAATCCAGTGAGTACCAAAAACGGTAGGTCTACAGGTCAGCCATACCTGTCCCTCACCATCAAATAGACAGCCGTCACCATCAAACGGACGGCGCGCAGCCCTACTTGATGGTCATGACATTCTGCCATGCCACAGTCCTGTGGAAGAGTTGACACAAGGATTGTGAGAAACTCCTAGATATAACAATGTCAGTTCAGTGTGGTGCAATGGCTAGCATACCTCACTTTCAAAATTCTTAACCAGAGACCCGAGGAGGTTGAGGTTCGATTCCCCGCACCGAAGTAAGGTTTGATTTTCTTTATGCCTCTCGTCTCCCCCCAGGCCCCTTGTCAATATCTGTTGGCCCACCTCTTTTTGAAGCCACACGAAGTGCTATCCATTACATTTCTTTATTTTGTCATCCATCCAGAAAAAAAAATTTAATTGCACATGAGTGTTGCGGTGATTGTAGTAGGTATATAGTACACGTATGAAACAAAGAGTTGCTACACAGGGTGAGGGCGATGTAGATGCGAGCAAGTTAAGAAACGACGGAAAGCCAAAGCACGAGTAGTTGTAATGTTCGACTTGATGGGCGGTAACATGGACAAAAAAAAACAGGACTATAAGGATAACAACAATCGCGAAAGGAGTGGGGTGGGGGGAGGATGAAGGGAAAGAAAGCAACCAGAAAAAGAAAAAATAGGCAGCATAAAGTTACGGAAAACTTCAGAACGGGGGGGGAGGAAAGGGAGAGAAGCTTTGCATTCAATATGTGCACCAGATCCACATTTCATTTCTGCTGCGAGAAAAAAAGGCGTGCGTCGTATGTGTGGGGTGAAAGAATAGGTGGGGAAGGTGATGAATTTGGGGAGAGGAAGGGGACGAGAGTGTGAAGAAAACCTCCGAGAGGAAAAACCCAGAGCCTAGAGACCAAGAGAACAGAGACACGACAACGACTCGTCGAAAAGAAAAGCTTGACTGAGGTGCCAGCGCGCCCGGGGGAGGAGGGAGGGGGGGGCGTGGGTGGTCGCCTTAAAAAAAAATCCCTGCCCGAATCATGATGATGGTGATGCTTCTTAGCAGCGGCAGAGCCTGATCAACTCCGCACATACATACTACTGCCGCTGGCTAAAAATCGCGACTTTATTTTTATTTTTAATTTGGTCATTTATGCGTCGCGCCGTCTAGACGATTGATCCATTCGACCGTACCTTCATCGTATCGTCCCGACGTCCGTCGAGACGTGACGAGACCACCACCGGCCCCGTGCACATATTCAATCCCGGGACGCGGAGGCGGAGGTACGAAGCGACGACGCCGATGTGGTCGTCTGCCATCACCACCACCAGCGTTGAGTCGCTCCTCCTCCTCCTCCCTCTCATCGTCATCGTCATCGCCATCACCATTACCGTCCGCGCCGCTGCTACGCTCGACTTGTGATTCTGCGTGCCGTTTGCCCTTATCGGTGCCGCGTGCAGTAAAACCAACCTCAGATGATACTAAAGGACGTAGGGACATGCCCAGTAGCGAACTTGTGGTTGTATTAGTGGCAGCACCAGCAGCAGCACCAGCAGCCACAGGAGCAACTCCGGCTGCGGCTGCTGCCGCAAGCGAGGGCTTGCCAAACGTCGGTTGGCCAAAACCGATTGGCACATGTGCAAATCGCGTGAATCCTGTAAGTGGAGCATCTACTGGGGGTACCTGATGAATCTGCTTTCGAGGGTTGCCAACGGAAAAGGAAAGTGAGGAAACAGATTTTTGTTGTTGTTGCCGCTGAGGCAGAGTGAGGGCTGCTGCTGCCGTTGACATTGTTGTTGAAAATGTTGCCGTTGGAGAAACGGGAGCGGGGAGATCGTTAAACGTACGCATTGGTGGTAGGCGAGGTGTCCCAATCTGCTGCTGCTGCTGGGGAAGACTCGTCACCGACTGTATCTGTTGCAAGTTCTGAACCATCGATGGCGAAATACGTGACGTGGCGCCGCCAGCCGTTAAAGAAGAAGATTGTGACGGCACGAGCTGATGATGGTGATACTGAGTCTGGGTCTGAGTCTGAGTCTGGGTCCGGGTCTGGGTTTGGGTCTGAGACTGGGTCTGCGTATGGCTTTGGTGCTGTTGTTGTCGTGGGTGTTGAATCGACGATACAGACCCACTGCCGTCCAACCTGCCGCGTTGCAAAGGTGAAACAACACCCACCTGGGGAACGTTGTACGGTAAAGATGCTGCTGCGCTCCTCCGGACGACTGTAAGCCAGCGCGCTGTGATGGACTACTCCCATGATACGCAACGCTACCACGCAACGCCGGGTCGATATTCACATCGTCAGTAGCATCGCCCCCTTCGCCATCGTCATCGATACCGTATGATGACGTGTATGATCGTACTGGTTCCACATGTTGATTATCCTGGTGATGAAGATGATGATGCGACGATAGCTGAGAGTGAGTCACAGGTGTGGTCTGGTACAACGTTTTCTGCTGCTGCTGCTGCTGCTGTTGTTGTTGTAGTTCATAACGTTGACGATGTTGACGCGGCGACGAAGGTCCCGCGCTACGTGCAGGCGGCAGCGACAGCGTGTACTTGATCTCTCGGGCCGAAGCGGCAACGATAGTCGCAACGTTCGTTTCCGTCGACGAAACTTGGTGATCGTCTTCCACTACGGCTTGCGGCTGCGCGTGTCCGTCATGTGTGTGTGCATGGGAAGGTAGCGGGTACGGCGTTGGACGCGATCCGTTGCCCTGTGCAGGTTCGGGCAGTCGCGTAGAGGAGGCTCGATACGCCTCCGCAGCAACCTGAGCAGCGATTTGTCCCTTGGTCGGCTTCTTGTTACGCTTGCGCACGCGTTTGTTACCCTCTCCTTGCGTTAGGTCAATCATCCAGTAACTTCCTTTTCCTGGTTCGGTGATGGGTCGTTGAACTTTGAGGAAGCATTTACGCAAAGAAAGATTATGTCGAATGGAGTTCTGCGTTTAAGTTTTCCAAGTCGTTAGCCACTTCATCTTCTCAATTCCCAGGGGAAAAAGGAAAAAGGAAAAAGGAAAAAGAGGGGGGGAAGGGTGTGTGTGTGTAACAAGAAAAAAAAGGAACCTGTAAGAGGCACCTTGGACGCGAAACGTAACGCACGCACCTTCCAAGAAAGCTCATCAGTCCGTACACGGAACCATTCAAATCGGTCCTCGAGCGTTTGATAGATCTCCTGGAGCGTCAGTCTTCGCTTCGGGCTGCCGTATATCGCGAGTTTGATGAGTGTCGGTAACGGATAATTCGGTTTCTCGCCCGGAAGGGGATCAGCAAGCGCGGCGAGCCCCACAGTAGCGCCGGGCGGACAACCCAGTAACGCTCGCAGGTGAATAGTCTCGTCTGCGAGCTCGCTATCACTCAACATGCCCGAATTTGCCGCTTCCGGGGTATCGGATGCGGGAGCAGGGGTGGAGGCAGGATGGGTGTTAGGTGTAGAAATAGGTTCAGAGAGTGGCATGGTTGCCTGCGTTTGAACTACTCGTGGTGATGATGTTGAAAGTTGTGGTGGCGTTGGTGGCGATGGTAGCAGCGGCCGGGGCGGTGGCGGAGGTTGAGAAGTGGGACTTTTAAGCCACTCTTCAGCAGAATCCACGCTCGTGTTTTGGGCTTCAACTGATTCAGTGGATTGTCCGTGCGTTGGTAACTGCGCAAGGGCCCGCGAATGGAGCTGATCTTCTACCGCAGACGACGACCAATGAATACAAGTTGCTTTCGCGGTCACCTCATCAGCACGTTGACGATGGCCCGACCCATGCCCATGCCCCACGACGAAACCGAAATCAGAGTGGCGTCGTGCTGCTCCTGCCTCCACCTCCATACACAACCGCTTGGGATCATTCGAACCAGAAAAAGAGGTGGACTCCCTTGCCGCCGCTATCGTCGTAAGCACAGTAGGTCGTTGTAATCGTGATTGTGATTGTGGTTGGGACCGGGATCGGGATTGAGATTGAGAGCTCGCGCTGTCCGAGCCTGGGCTCTGCACCGCGAGTGGCGAGAAAGGGCGATGGCGCCGACGTCGAGGAATGAGTTTTGGCGGGGGGAACTTTAACGAGGTGTCGAGGTCTGTGCTGCGACGACGCGGACGCGGACGATATCGCTCGGATTCCTCCCTCTCCATTAATTCTTCTTCCTCCTCCTCACCGTCGTCATCATCATGACCATCGTCATCATCATCGTCATCATCGTCAGAGTGCGAGCGTCGTCGTCGTCGACGACGACGGAAGGCCATCTCGGCACTGATACTGGTGCGGCCTGCATTGCGATCATGGTTGGAGTTACTAGCGCGGTATGTCTGACAAGGGAGAACAACACAAAAAAGACACGACCCGAATATATAGGTAGGATAGAGGGGGAAGACAAAAAATATATGAAAAGCTTGACAAAAGGACAAAGGTAGGGAGAGATCGACGTACAGGATCCGTCGCCATACGTGTGGCATGCGATGAAATGTGCAAGCCGGACGGGTGGGTCAGGCGCGTCGCGTGTAGATCAAGACGGTGGTCGCGGTCGTGTTGGAATCGGGTAGTCGAGGTGCTTGAATCGCGAGGGACAAAGGGAGCATCATCCCCATCCTCGTCATCATCCTCATCCTCACCTTCATCCTCGTCCTCGTCTGTGTTCACATCCATACGGTCTCTCTGGGCGGAGATATTAGGTCTCACGCCCTTTGTCGAGACACGAGAGAAAGATGAGGTCCTTTCGAAGTCTTTGTGGTGCGCGCGGAGGTCAGACGGGCCAGAGCGTGACGGCGCCGGTAGGACGGGTCGAAGTGGTGAGTGAATTTGGCGTTGATCATGTGCGAGTCGGACGCCGGGATCCCAAGGGACATTGGTATTGACCCTGCTGGAGGAGGAATAGTCTGTTGTTGAATGAACGTCTTGGTCAGCATTACGTTGAATCATGCCTCGTCGGGGGGGAAGGAGGAGGTTAAACAAGGAGGGATCGGGGATCAAGGCGATGGGAAGAGTCAAAAAATGAAAAGTGTATGAGGGTATGAGAAAGTTACGGGGCAGCAGGGATGAGGGGATGGGATGGACCCACAACCCATCTGGTCGGCTCCCCCGTACTCGTTCACTTGTCGTTCACAAACGACTTGTCTATGTGTACGAGTCTATGAGAGAGGGAAAGGAACGGTGTATAGGGATGGGTGTAGGCGTATGTGTAGGTGTAGGTGTAAGTGTAAGTGTAAGTGTAGAGAGAGGGCACGAGCACAGGCATACACATACAATGACAGCAATTATTGGACCCACAAGTGTAAACAACTTACCGCCATCGCCATCGAC